GTACTGGACGCTACTAACATCATCTTACCTTCCTTAGGACTGTCATCCTACCAGCTCTGGACCGTTGTCCTACCACTCACCACTCCCACATCCGCTCGCGTCCCTCTCGCTCAATGCCACCTCTAAACATCGTGGTAGGCTATACTATTCTTGTACTGGATACTAACATTCATCTTATCTTCCTTAGGACTGTTGTCCTACCAGCTCTGGACCGTCGTCCTTGTCGTCCTACCACTCACCACTCCCACATCCGCTCGCACATCCCTCTCACCGCTCGCACTCACCTCACACATCCGCTCGCACTCAACCATGGTGCATTGTTCAATGGTGCGTTATTCTCTCACTCGTCTACCTACTCTACCCTTTCTTATATACCTACCGTACCTCTTTCTTATATCAATCGAATTCTTTTTTACATCACCCATACAATAACTCACACACAAATGTCTACTTACTCTCGATCGAATATTAACTCACATTTACTTACTCTTTCTATATATTTCACTCGTCCTCGTCTTTGACATCCTTGTCCTCATTCTTGTCCCCGTCGTTTTTGTTTTCTTCTTCTTCCTCCTCCTCTTCCTCTTCCTCCTCTCCATCTCCGTCCTCACTGTCACCATACTCACCATCACCATACAGTGTCACCCGCCTTCGGATTTTTGATGTGGCGCACTTCACAGCGGCGACCCGCATGGCCTTGGTAATGTTTTCTGCCTGCTTGAAGGTGCTCGTGTTTGTACACGTCTCGGATCATGCCTGGCTGGAAGCCTGAGCGGTTTGCAAGTCTCACCACTTTCTCTTCGAAGCGAACTGCGTGAACTGTGCGATATCCACAGTGTGGATTTGAGGGTCTATGTTGAGGAATCCTGGTGTTGGCCTCCAAGCTGCTGTTGATGGTGACAGCTTTCTCGGTATCTTCGATCTTGCTTGTCTGGCCAGCGCCAGCACCCGTTTTCGAGGAAGTATGCAAGTGTGGGGTCATTGAGTATATTACTGTGTACTAGCTCTCATTAGCTTGAATTTGCTTCCCTGAATGGACGATAGCTAGGAAAATTAAATGTTCTCAACCCACCAATTAGAAAATAGAATCAAATGGTGATTCAGTGCGGCAGTTAACACAAATTTGAATATTGGCAGTGTGGTGGTTGAAGTAGTTAAGATAAAAGAATCCCGACCCCTAAAACGTTGTCATTCCATCCCCGCCACCCAAGTACACACATTGCACTCATGTCGGTCTTCGAACTGAAAACAATCCTTACTCTTCTCAAGAACTCGACAGCCATCTCTCCTCTCGAGAAAAAACACCTTCGAGAAGAATTGGAGGGTTAGTGTGAGTTTATTCTCTTGAACGGCTTGAAGTGCGCGCACTCGGTACCTCCTTCGACTAACCAAAAAAAAAGGTAGAAAACATATCAGCACATGGAATGAGGCACACAGCCATATGAACAACTCACGTCCGCAGTTTCAGCTACAGTGGGAATCTGAGATTGTCGAGTACGTCCAGTTCCTGTGGGAGAAGACGAGAAGACGGTCAAAGAAAGGCAAGACCAACAAGCTGGGAGTCAACATACCGTTGCTTGGGCCTTGGTTTATGCCTCCATCCTACCTGCACATCCAGAAGTGGTCAGGTGGTGGAGCCATTGATCCGACAATACAGTACCTCACGCCACTCAATATTGTGCACCCGTTCTACTACCCACAGCTTGCACGGTGTCTGAGATGCGGGTCTGACAAGGACACGACTTGGGAGGGATGGATGAGCAAAGGACCTTGAGAACTCCATGGTATACTCTGTGAAGAGATGGCTCTCGGTGCACAACTGCGGTGCAACCGCTGCAAGGAGACATCAAAGTCGAAGCCGAAAACCAGAAACAGCACCACTCACCATTTGGACTTGGTGAACTCAAGCATCGAGGGCTATTGCTTCACGACGACCAGTGCCATGTATTGGAAGTCCTGGGAGCACTGGAGAATACCGCGTGAGTCTTGTGCACCGGCAGAAGACCTGTGTCAGTTGATCTGATGTATTCAGACCTCGGCAGGGGGCATACTGATCTTTTTCTACTGGTGTGCATTGACACAGGACTTGTTCGACCTGCTCGTCGAGTTACGGCCATCTTCGACATCTGCAGGTCTTGAAGAACGCATCCAACGTAAGTATCGTGCTACGTCATCGATGCAGCAGCTCAACGCACTTATAGAGCTGCATCTATTCGAATATAAGCGCCAAATGCTGGAATATCTTGAAGCAGTCAGCACTTACGAATCTTCAAACAGCTCAAACTCACGCACGCTTGGACTCGGACATTACTTTAACCATGGCGCCACTGGTAGCATGACCGCAGGATCTGGGCTTCAAGCGTTCTCAGAACCAGATGACCAGCTCGGCTACGATAACAAGTCGATCCCAAATGAAATAATAACCGAGGTCTTCGTTGATTTTTTGACTCGCACCAGGCAGGATGAGAGTGCGCTGTATTTGAAGTCACTATCTGGTAAGTACAAGACCAAATACACAAATAGACTTACGCACTCACCATTTGTTTGTCAGCAATATGCAGTTCTCTCGACAACACTTTCAAAGCATCAAACAAGGCCACACTCACAAACAAGGATGGGCAAAAGACAAGGGAGATCAAGGGCGGGATACTCACTGTGCTGAATGAAAGCAACGAGATCATTGCTTGGGTGAGTACTTCCATCTGACTTTGAAAAAGTTGACGCTGATACGCTGTAGAGACTCGCGCCTCTCAATGCAGAATATACGGCCCTATTACCCACATAATTCCCTACACGTTCCAGCTCTTATCCGAAGGATCAGTCATACATGCTCTCACGCACGCGCCCTACGTACGCGCCTCGTTCACGCGCCTTACACGCACTCGCGCCTTTCACGCGCACTCGTGCGCCTCCCCTTAGGCCGTTGTACCCTTGTCCGTCTGTCTGTCCTATGTCCTCGCTGATTTACTGGTACGTTATTCTTATCCCTTTCACTGAATTGACGTACCTTCGGTCCGATCTCCGCGCTTACATACAGAAAGTCTATCATAGGCTTTAGAATATATTTAGAGTTGATATGGTTACTCGGTTCGGTACCACGCTCGGAAGCGCGCCACATAGCATAATCTCCCTTCTTAAATAGAGGGAAAGTTCCTTTTAACTTACTTCCTTCCCTTCTCCCTTATCTGAGTATACTGCAAATTGTATAGTGCACCTTAGTACTTGAAATCCGATTATACTTCACTATTCTACCATCGCTTGCGCATCTGCTATACTTGAACACTCTCCCCCATCACTCAAAAGCACGCTTCCGCATACGCGCGCGCCCCTCGCATCTTTCGCTCGCGCGCGCCCTTCACGTGCCTTCGCATCACTTACTCGCGCCTATGTGCGCATTATCTTCTCGCGCCTTCGCGCGCCTGTTACCACCCGTCTAGTTGACGAAGACTCCCTCCATTACATTAAAGAGGAACTTCTCTCAGTAGCTGTCCTTTGGGTCGAGTCGTATTCTCATATCCTGGTCTTACTGTAGAACCCCCGTTAGCTTTAGCGTTTCACCTATAGTCAAGATTCCTCACCTTCAACGCCCTGTTTGCAAGTGTTTCTGTCAGACACGCGCGAATGCCGAGATCACGGAGCTACTGCGTGGCCTCAAGCGGCGCCATGATGTCCTCAACCTCCCGCAACCAAAGATGATGGTCACCAACAACTGCTGCCACATACATGGCGCGGTGGCTTCTGCCATGCCTGAGACAGAGGCTAAGCTGGATGTCTGGCATTTTAGTGCAAGGTATGTAACTTCAGCATGAGCTATACTGCTCTCACTAACAGGAACCCTCACCAAACGAAGATACATTGCTGCAATCTTGAACACCAGCAAGAGCCCATTCCATAGTGCCATCGCTGCCGATATTTTGGGTGCGATCCTCAAGAAACACGCAGAACATGGATGTGGAGCAGAGTACTGGGATTGTGGTGAACAAGAGCGGCGCCTTGTTGCAGTGTTTGACAAATGGGCTGAAAAAGGTGTGTGGTCAGCAGCGGCTCAGAAGGTAAGTCTGCCTGCTTCATTAGCAGTGGAAATGGAGTCTCACAGTGTCATATCCTGCTAGGTACATCAAGAACAACTTAAACACGTCCAAAAAGGGTGTCTTGAGCGCTCAGATCAAGACATCCGGTCTGATGGCAGCCCCATTGAGGGCACCCACAAGGGCTGGAACTCGTTGCAGCGTGCCCAACCGAGTGGGATCGTGATGCTGTCTGCGCTTGGGTCACGACTTTGTCCTCCGTCGAAACATTAGGGTCGCTTCCAGTAGGCGTCAAATGACGCCCTTTGTCAATTCACTCACGGCTCCCATCACATCCAGCTCTCTAACCACATTGCAAGACTCTACAACGGACTGCGTGAGAAGGACACACGGCTGCTTCCTCTACCAGAACTCCCAGATGTGGACTCCAGCGAGACCTTTGGACTTGTAGCGTCAGATAATACAAACTACATTTGGTGGTTGCTCGTCAAGGAAGAGACTGCAGACGCCGAACTCACACTCACACATAACTTTGAAGTTTGCACAGATAGCTTTACTGGTGGGACTATAGATTTTGCGACCGAAGCCAGCCGCAGCATCATGATCGAAGACTGGCAGATTGATCCGGCGCTCCTTGACCAACCTGCTACACAGCCTGCTGCTGCCACATGCTACCAAGTCATACCTGCCTCTCCAACCAAACGCAAGGTCTCTTGTGTCTCCTTTGACGCCAATGATGAGTTGGACAGCGGCAATACTTCAAAACGACCACGGACTTTGGTTTCAGCTGGCACCAAGACACTCAATGGCTACTTTTCTTCTGGTTGCATTGTAATGCGACCCAGAGAGCTCCACAGGCCTGTCACAGAGGTATGTTGTCATACCACCATCCTTGATCAATGATACTCACGAAAACTTCCTCCCAAATTCTCACAGGGTCATCCAGCAGTCACCAGCGCTGGCATCAACAACTCAATCACACCTGACCAACGTTACACATGAAAACTTCCTCCCAAATTCTTGGAGGATCGCCCAGTGATTCCTGGTGCTACTGCAGAGGTATGTCCCATCCCTCACACCCAACCAATGTTACACGCGAAACTTCCTCCCTAATTCTCACAGGATTGCCCCAGCACTGGTATCAGCAACACCATTACCCCCAGCGCTGGCATCAGCAACGCATTACTGGGGGTCACCCAGCAGTCACCAGTGATCACCCAGTGATTCCTGGGGCTTACTGCAGAGGTATGTGCAATCACACCCGACCAACGTTACACGCGAAAACTTCCTCCCGAATTCTCACAGGATTGCCCCAGTGCTGGCATCAACAACCACAATTACCCGGTCTCAGCACTTATTCTCCATTGCTACAGGTATTGATCCTCGCTCACTGACCCTTCAAAATTCAGACGAGTTCTACCTGTTTATGGACATGCGGGCCGAGTTCAAATGGCTGTCATATCAAATGACTTCGAAGCGCTGGGTGCTGGCAACAGAGGAGTACAACCGTCGTCTCACACAGACAGCTGGCCGGTCGGTCATTCAGAAGAACCCACAAGCCCTCCTACGTGCACTGGGTGACATCGAGCCCAACTGATGAACCGCATCATCAGAGATGAATATACCTGTGAGTTTATCAATATTTCTCTTGCATCACTCTGTAATTTTCTGACATCTGGATTATGAACACACAGCAAAGAGGAACAATGAGACATTTTGGCGCCACCATTGTTCTGTTGTACCTCTTGTCAAGCAGGAGCGAGGGAAAAAGGTCAGTTCACTCAAGTTCAACACCAAGTTTCATGCTGAAATTTTTGCTGTTTAGCCCCGAAAGGCGCAGACATGCTCACGCTGCCAAACGATCATGTACCCTGGCCCTGAAAACTCGCCACTCAACCACAAGCGGGCTACTGTGCTGATGGCATCAAGCAGGTGTCAAAGAACAGCGGTGAAGATCTCCCTCCCTGGCCTCAGCCTCAAGGTCTGTTCTCCGAAGGCCACACATTCCATCCGCACGCATTTTTGTTGGCTGTTCAGCGTGTCTATGAGTATGTTTCCTTGCAGGGACCGGGAGAGATGGACTTGCTTGAAACGGAGGCCTTCGCGAAGCTGCTTGTCTCACGCACTGAGATCCACGAGGATGGTGCAGTGCTTTTCTGGCTGTTTACAGACTTCATCGTGGACCCATCGACCCCTCGTGATTGCATCGTTGTCCGCGACGACAAGCAGTGGTTGAGGATCAATTTCCTGCAGCAGCCGTAGTTTCGTTCGAGATTGGTGTTTGCATTTTAATTCATTTCATGCCTTTGTCTTCTTACAGATCATTTACGCACCTAATAGTTTACTTTTTTCAATCACAATCATCGCAAGGTCTTCGCGCTACGAATGGTACTGTCTATTGCTCGAAAATCTGCGCGTCCCAGTCTCGTCCTTTGAGCTGAATACCTTCGTCTTAGAGGCAAAATGTTCGTCTTAGGGCAAAACTCCAACGTGTCACGTGACGACAAAAGTCACGTGCTTAGGAAAAGGTCCAAACGGTCTGGCGGAGTTGCAAAAACGGTCAGACCGTTTGGACCGTTTGTAATCCTCCCCTTCCCATGGCGCAGCTGCCGAAATTTCCGACATGTTTCTGAATCTCTTACTGGACGCGGCCCATGTAAGTTAACCACCGACTCGGATGGCTTGCAATATCCGGACGTGCCTCAGATCTCAATATTGATATCCTATCATCTGAACTGCATCTGAACTGCAAACTTCGGAATACGCAGTTGATATATGCATGAAGCAAGTATAGTTCCCAGCCTGATTAGAATTAAGATACGCCAATGGTACTTGAGCTTACATAATTACCCTTAGCCAATTTAAATTAGTTTGGAACGTCGCGGTAATTACCGCAGCAGAGTGCTAGCGAGGCACACTAGCAGTTGCAATTCCATGAGGTACTGACGTACTGCGATTGTAAATGAGAGCAGTTCTTAAAGATCAACGCGGTGCTTGGCAATGAGAGCCTCCTTGACGTGACGACTTGGCCGCAGCACTACCAAGCCTTGCCTTGAACAACAACTTGAAGTATAAAAACGAAACGGGTTCAACCAAGAACTCCCAATTCAAACGACTTGATTTACTCTGACATCAAAAAGTCAGCTCAATATTACCCCAACGTGATGGCCACTACCTCTGGAATTGGTGTCTCCCCCGAGCTGACAAAAGCATTCTCTGATGCTGTCGAGACAAAGAATGTTCGGTTCTTCAAAGTCATCATTCAGGACGGTTTGTGCTAGTTTACCTCTCTGCATCATTAGTGATCTCATACCATCACAGAGTCTCTCGTTCCTGTAGACTCCTTGCCAGTGACCGATTCCTTCAACGAGGATTTGGTACAACTTCAAGAATATCTTGAAGACAAGGAACCATGTTATATCCTGGCGCGTCTCGATGATCCTCCTTCAGAATGGCTTGCTATCAGCTATGTGCCAAATTTTGCCAACGTTCGGGATAAGGTAGGTATTGTTGTTGATATTGCTGAACTCAATCTGATCAGCCCAGACATTGTATGCTTCAACACGTAATTCTTTGACCAAGTCGTTGGGCTCGACTGTTTTCACGGACAGCCTATTTGCGATTTCTAAAGAGGACCTGACACCTGAAGCCTATGAGGCTCACAAGAGGCATAAGGCTGCACCAAAGCCTCTGAGCGCGCGGGAGCAAGAAATGGCAAATATCAAGGCAGCCGAACGAGAAGCTGGGAACAGTTATGAAGGCAGCAATGCAAGAAAGAACCATATTGGTCAACGCGTTGGTCTGTCTTGGTCCTCAGAAGCTGAGGACGCTGTGAAGGCGCTTGGCTCGCGAAATGATAGTCGGATTGTCATATTGGTTCGTATCCCTATTGGTTACATCCAGCGAGGTGTTCACCTCTCGTTTCAGAAAATTGAACCATCAACCGAGTTGCTCGAGCTGGACTCTTTCGTAGATGTAACAGTGGACAATTTGAGTTCAAGCATACCAAGTGATGAACCATGTACGTGCTCCTTGCACCGCGATTGCGCTTTATGTGATACGCTCACGCGTTCTTTCATTAGCATATGTATTCTATGCATGGGCGAACTCGTATTCTCAGGCAGGCGGAGATGTCGGTTTGTATCATTACACCCGCTGCATCGCACGTGATACATCTGACTTACTTGTTCAGTCTTTATATACTCTTGCCCTACGACATCACCTGTTCGATACAGGATGCTCTACTCATCAGCGGCAGTATCAACTTATCTCGCTGTGAAGGAATTCTTGATGGAAAGTGGGTCGGCATTCCCGCTTGCCACAAAGAGGCTCGAAACGTCGGACCCAGCGGAACTCGATGAGTCCTTCCTCAAAGCTGGTCTCAACCATGATGGACCCGCAGATGCTATTGTTAACAATAATGGTGCTCGGGAGGATTACCCTGCAAAACCCTCATTCGCCAAACCGAAAGGCCCTGCAAGGAGACGATGAAAGCTAAAGAAAGATGGTAATATTGTAACTAAATGTGCAGTAGTGTGAACATACCAACTTAGATACGAACTTGTATGAGTAATTGGCTATAACTTGTGTGGATGTGGTTGAGGGAACGTGAGTGACATCCACACTTACATATCCTTCCGGAAAAAGAGTCATTACTATGCACACCGGAGTTTCGTCGGCATGCAGGGTTTGGTGCTAGTGGGACTCCGCCGAGCTCCGAACATGCTCGTGCTCATTGGGCATGTGACCAACCAAATACACACTTATAGCGTTACCATGTCTAGCGAACACCAAAGACTTGTACCCCATCCATGTTGGCTACGTGCGTCTCGAGAGCGACGTTCGCCCCGGTTTTCAAACCTCGTGCAACCATCTTCCTTAGAGCAAGATGGTACAGTACTCCTTCGGAACTTCCACTACCCAATAAGTCGAAGGTGTGGCAGTCTGTCGACGAAGCAGTTAAGGATGTAAAGTCAGGAGACGTCCTTCTGTGTGGTGGTGAGTATCGTCGCATTCCATTTCTTATACCAGATGTGTGATATTCCGGAACGCAATACCCAGGTTTTGGTTTAGCTGGTGTGCCAGGTGAGTCTCGCTAGAGGGTAGATCTTGAACTGTGTAACTGAGCTAGGATACAACAAGACACGCTTCTTGCCGCCTTAGCCAAGCGCAAGGACGTTACAAAGCTAACAGGCATTTCCAATAATGCTGGCGCAGGCGACTCTGGACTTGGTTTGTTTTCCACAACTGTCCATGATCCGTGAACCTCATGAATATCCACAGGAAAGTTGTTCAACAGCAAGCAGATTGATAAAGTCGTTGCTTCATACCCTGGAGGGTGAGTAACTCATCTTGTTGGGGCTAGTTTGAGAGGAATTGTCCGTCTATCCAGAAACAAGGCCTTCGAGGCTTTATATCTCAAGGGCGAGGTGTCTTTGGAGCTATGCCCCCAAGGTACACTCATTGAACGTCTCCGTGCCCATGCCGCTGGTATCCCAGCCTTCTTCACCCCTACGGGAGCATCAACAGCAGTAGAAGACGGTTCTATCCCAACACGCTACAACGAAGGAGGATTTGCCAATGGAGTCAAGATACCAGGTATTAAGAAAGAATCACGGGAATTCGGAGGTCGCAAGTATATCATGGAGCCTGCCATTGCTGGCGATGTCGCTTTCGTCCACGCATGGAAAGTGGATGAGGTTGGCAACTGTGTGTTCCGGTGAGGAAACAAGATTTCATCTTTGTTGCCTATCTGAGCACTGAGCATGTTGATTCGCGCAGGTACGCTCAGCAGAACTTTGGTACAGTTATGGCGAAGAATGCAAAACTTACGATAGTGGAGGTGAGTCGTGGTATCGCGGTAGTTTGCCAGAACTTGATGCATTCATTGCAGGCCGACGAAATTGTACCTACTGGATCTCTTTCACCAAATGCCATCCATATTCCAGGCATTTATGTTGATCGAATTGTTCAGTCCACCGAGCCAAAACTGATAGAGCACACGACACTCGCGCCAAGCCCATCATCTTCTGCTGAACCGTCCACTCTGACACCTGAGAAAGAACACGCCCTGAAAATGCGTCATCGTATTGCAAAGCGGGCTGCCAAAGAGCTCAAAGATGGATACTACGTAAATCTCGGTATTGGCATGCCCACTCTCGTTCCCGGATACCTTGCGCCCGGTGTGAGCGTTCAGCTGCAAAGCGAAAACGGCATCCTCGGCATGGGGCCATACCCTAGTACGAAAGAGGAGGTGGATCCGTAAGTAGTGCTGCCAGTAAGTGTTTCTCATACTAAGCCTCTCTTTGTAGGGATCTCATCAATGCGGGTAAGGAGACTGTGACCTTACTTCCCGGTGCCTCGATCTTTGGTATGTTTTCAAATTGTAGTTGTATGATTCAGCTTCATTTGCTGACTCTACTGCTAGACTCGAGTGAATCATTCGCGATGATTCGCGGTGGTCACATCGATGTTTCCATTCTCGGCGTGAGCGTTTTCACATGTTTTTTGGATGATCTCACAATATCCTGGTTTATCTTGTAGGCTATGGAAGTATCACAGGCAGGTGATATTGCCAACTTTATGATTCCCGGGAAATTGGTTAAAGGTACGTGATCTATATGTATTTTCGCCATTCCGTCTTCCGCTGCGTTCTCACTGTCGATCACATTCTTAGGCATCGGAGGAGCTATGGACCTGGTGTCCAACCCCGACAAGACGAAGGTTATAGTAGTGATGGATCACTGTGCGAAAGACGGCACCCCGAAGATCTTAGCAAAATGCTCTCTTCCGCTCACGGGTGCCCGTACTGTCAGCCAAATCATCACAGAGTTGGCCGTTTTCGATGTCGACAGAAAGAATGGCCACCTCGAGCTTGTCGAGCTCCAGGAGGGCGTAACACTTGATGAAGTCAAGGCGAAGACTGGGTGCGATTTCAAGGTACGGAGGGATCTGAGCAAGCTTTGATTTGCTTTCAGGTTTTGCGGATCCCATTGTGGGGAAATGTTGATACCTTGTGCATTAAATGTATTATTCTTATATCATCCAGACAGTCTCAAACCAACCGTTCTGATTCAAGGCGCCGTGTCTTCTCGTCTCATTTACAACTTACAAGAATGTTGGTGTTTTACGCAAGCTCTGGGATGGGGTAAGTAGTGGGCTATACATCAAGTATTTTGGAACACCCTCGTGGCTCACATCTGGTGGTGTCCTACCGCTGAGTTTACGCTGCTTCCTCTCTGCGCAGCAGGACCTTACGAGCCAAAGAGTGATATTTTTACATCTCCTCTTACACCCCAACTTTAGCGGCAGACTTCTTGACATGCGCCCGTTCAACATTTTGTAGCCATCGGTCAAGCGAACCCAGAAAGAGGGAAAGAACATTGGTGCCGCTGTCGAGTTAGATGTTGCGGCTCAGTGTGTCGCGTCCTTTCTGGAGGCATGTTATGTACTTCTCTCTGTGGTTGTCCAATGAGCTTACTGGCACGAATGCATATATTCACACCCCCCGTAACACAACATGAGATCCTGTGGTGGCTTTTGGTGTTATTCGGGTTGTATTCTCTCGTCTCCTTTGTTTTCTGGTTGACGCGATAATTCTATGTGCAATGCAGCTCGAGTTGGATTTGTAACAAGTTCCCTTTCCCAGTTTGCACATCCCTGTATATAGCGTTTTGATTACTAACTTTAGCAACGATCAGACAAGTACTACCATTCGCATGCTTCGAACAATGAAGTAGATCGTTTCGAGAGAATACAACACTGGACTTGTTTGGGACTTGGCAGTGCATGCTCTTCGGAGTTTTGAAGGAGATGCCTGGTAGTGTGGCATGCCAATGATGATAGTGCCTGATCGGACCATCTGAGTCATTTCCTTATTCTCGTCGATAAGCTTCGGCTTCAGCTCCTGAAATTTGTATTCTAAAAGTACACATGACTTTATGCTATATGATGGCCGGACCCCACCAGCGTGGCTGGCTTAACGAAGGGTGACCAGTTCTGCGCACATCCGTCAGCATGTCAAATCTGCCAAATGATGGAGCCCAATTACCTTCAGCAGATGTTGGATGGATAGCAACCGTGTCATCTAGGTCCTGTTTCCGGGCTTGACACATACTCAGTTATCAACTGAAATATGACGATGGAAAGCACTCACCTCCCATCTTGACGGCCACTGCAAAGCCTTGCAATACCTCGTCGCTTCCTTGTCCAATAATATGTACACCAACTACACGTTCTTCTTCGCCAACAACAATAAGCTTGTACACGGTAGGCTCCTTGTGCTCTTCCTCAATTTGAGAGAAGTAAAGTGAGCGGAACGAGGATTTGTCTATGCTGAAATGAGCATGTTGGTGCATTTGAAAAGAAACAACGCAGACACACAGATCTTAACAGCAGACCCATACTTCTGGCGAGCTTCGGGCTCCGTTAGGCCTACTGTGCCAATGGTGGGGTGACTATATATGCACTATGAACGAGCACTTCCGACAGAAGGTGAGGTACACTCACGAGAAAACGACCGTTGGGATATCCTCATACAACAATTTGTCGTTCTTGAATTTCTCAGGCCCAAACAGCCTGTTTGATAGTCGCCGACCTGCTGCAATAGCGACAGGCGTCAAGAGCGCCTTGCCCTGGACATCACCTATCGCAAATATATTCTGCAGCTGAGGCTTGCCCTCTACAAACAGGGCCTTCTGGAATTCATCCACAACTACATCGCCCTTCTTGTCGAGCTGGATCCCCAGCTCTTCGAGACCCACACCCTCAGTGTTTGCGTGCCGTCCTATAGCCCACAGCACGCAGTCCACCTTGAGTTGTGTGCCATCGTTGAGGTGCACAGTCAATTCACCACCCTTCTGGCCTTCAACTTTGATGACCGATGTATTTTTGTGGATCTTGATTCCAGTGTGCTCCATCCAAGGTGTAAGTGTATCCTGGAGGATGGGATCAAAGGTGCGGAGAACGTGTTCACGCCTGATGAGAACATGTGTCTCACTTCCTAGTGTATGAAGTACACCGGCGAGCTCAACGGCGATGTATCCTGCGCCGACGACAGCCACGCGCTTAGGTTGGTCCTCAAGGTCAAAGAAGCCATCCGAATCGATTCCAAGACTCGCGCCAGGGATCTGGTCGTCACTTGGTATGGTAGGGCGACCTCCAGTGGCAACGGTGATGTAGTCACCTGCTATGACGTATGGCTCGCTACCGTCGGACGGCGTGATCTGAACCTCGTTGGGCGAGACTAGACGGGCAGCACCGCCATAGTAGTCCACCTTTTCTTTCTCGAGGTTCTTCTCATATATGCCATTCAACCGGCGAATGTAGGCATCACGCTGCGGTTTGAAGGATGCCCAGTTGAACTGGGGCGGAGGGACATTTTCGAAATGGTACCCTTTGCTTGCATGGCGCAGACGGTCTGCAAGGTCTGCCGCATGCCACATGATCTATGCCAACAATAATCAGGGGGTAAGGAATGAGAAGCAAGAAATGACACACTTTTTTGGGAACGCAGCCAACATTCACACAAGTACCACCCAGATGCGGTGACGATTCGATGAGAGCAACTTTCTTGCCATAAGATGCAGCGCGACGCTGGGGCGGAGGCACTCAGGATCTCCACACGATCACCCTGTTGAAATGACATACCGATGATGCGACTCCTCCGCTTCCACCACCGATGCAGATGTAGTCGTATTTCTCCTGCAGTTTATTGAGTGGTGCCATCTTAGTGCTAGTATTCGAGAATGATCTTGATATCTGGGGTGTGGGAACAAGAGAAGATCAGATACTGAGGTGACCTATGAGCCTATCATGGCACATTCAAGTTGGCAGGGCATTACCTGAAAGAGCCGCTGCGATGCCTGTGCGCGCACTAAGGATTGCGATGTTGCAATTTTCGCAACAAATAGGGCGCTTTGCAATAAAGGGGCCACCTTAAGGAATTGGACGAGCAATGGCTCGTCTGCACTCTAATTATATAGGCCTTAGCACCCTGCTCAGTCAGAACTTGGTCATTGCTGCGTCATCGAAAGTCGCGGGTCACGTGTAAAGTGACAAAGACACGCGTCACGGGTTACATTTGCCAACGATTATTATGTAAGTTAGAACCTACAAGTTTCGATCTGTAGAAAATATGGCAACGGTAGACTGGACAGCAGATGCAAATGAGGCTCTCACTCTTTCATTAGGTGGGTCACTATACACGAGCTCAAGCATAGCTAACACGCTTTGTGCAGTCCGAGCAGAGGAGGACAAACAGGTGCCCGGAAGCGAGGAAACTTCCGAAGAATTTCATCCGACATTTACTTACCCTGTATGTTTTTACTTTATGTTATACATGCTCTCCCGTGATACGCTAACATGCTGTCCAGATCTACGGAGAGGAAGAGAAGCTTTATGGGTACCAAGACTTGGTAATTGACGTGCGTTACAACTTCATTCGTGAGTCGACATCGGCGCTGAACATTCAACCGGTGGCCTGCAGCTTCGGTTTGCCTCCGGTTCACTGGCACAATACCTCTCTGTCCGCTACGCTCAAAAGCTAGATGCGTCTACAACTGTGGACAATGTAGAAGGCATATTAAAAGAGTTCATACCTCCTGGTACGTTCCACTTCTCATACCTGCTACTCCGTAACTGACTTTGTACCTGACAGACTATGATACAGACGAAGCAGCATTTCTCACACGTGTCAAAGAAGATGCAGTTTCATTTCAGCCTATAGGCAGCGTCGTACATACTTATACGCGACCCGTACCAAACACGTCGGGATCCAGATCTGCCACTCGGGAAGTGGTTGAGTACGAGGTGTACCACGTGAGTGTCGTGAGCACTTTCTGTCGTGAAATTTTACTGAGGCACGTATAGGCGACATGGAACGATCCAGGATTCAGAGAATATCACAGGCGAATGCAGATTTTCATTCTACTATACATTGAAGCAGGCTCCTATATCAATGAAGACGACGACGCGTGGCACTTTTTTGTGTCGTCAGTTCCTCATTCGTATCTACCAGACTATTTAACCGCGTGCAAACAGGTACGAAAAACGCAAGCGGCAAGATGGCACGAACACATACCATTTCATTGGGTATTCATCAGTGTACAAATTCTACTGCTTTCCCGAGAAACACCGTCTTCGTCTCAGGTACGTACTTCCTTTGCGAACTGGACCTACATCATCAATGTATGGTTTGCACAGTCAATTTATAATTGTACCACCGTACCAACACCAAGGTCATGGATGTAAGTACTGATACTATTATCCCCCGCCTCTATTAATGCTCAAGTCTTTGAAGCGGAGCTGTATAAAACAATTTATAACTACGTCCTCCTTAACCCCCTCATATCTGAGTTGACAGTGGAAGATCCTGCCGAGGCATTCGAGGATTTACGAGATCGAAATGACCTGAGGATGCTCCTCGCCAACGAGAATTTTATGAAAGAAGGCTTTGGCAACGAGGCGGTTTCGCACGGTGGAGGAAAGGTACGAAAACGGAAAACTCGCGTTCGAGCAAACCCGGTGGGTGCATCATCTGGTATGGTGAAAAGCACCGGGAAGATGGGTCCCCCGATAGATAAAGCTTGGTCTGAGACGTTTCGGACACAACTCAAGGTGGCGGGGGTAAGTCCTGAATTAAGTTTATTCTGATCGTTGTTCTGATTTTTTACAGCGTCAATGGCAACGACTTATGGAAATGCTCATCTTGAGGCATTTCAACCCCACCGACATTCAGGCTGCAAGAGCATATCGACTGCAGGTCAAGGAACGGTTATATCGTTTTAACTTCGTAGGTCTCGCCGCCAACTTCATCTCGCCTTTAATTAATGTCCTCTCGTCGACAGGAAATCTTGGCCCAATTAGAGAAGGAGGAGCGACTGGAGAAACTGGAGGAGACATTCCAAAGCTTACGAGCAGATTATTTGAGAATATTGGAGATGATCAAGTAGCGCGATTAAACATGCCAGTAGTTGCACTCATTATTGTTATTTCACGCACTTATAATATTTCTGCCACCTGTCTGAAGTAAGTTTCGACTACTAGTCGACTAAACAAGGTTTGTATATCAATGGCATAGGCACAGTGCCCCATGGAAAGCAACTGAGTCCCTAACAACGACTTGACAACACCCATATTGACTTCGTTCGGCAACTCATCTACATGAGAAACTATAACAGTCTGGCACATCATTAACATTTGCGATGAAGAGAGTAGTCCTTGGCTTGATAAGTCCAGTCTCGGAGAAAGGCAAAAGTGAATTACAGCCATTTGCAGAACACTAGTAGGCCAAAGTGCAAAAACTACTACTACATACATGGCAGGATTCTATTCTCCAATCAGATTACACAGGGTAAGCTAGTAGTAGCTCTCTAGGCCGACTGCAATAGGAAAAATAGCAAGAAATTCATGTCCATTGAGGAGCTCACCCAAGCACCATTGACCTCTCTTCTTGTACTGTTGCAACACTGCTAAAGGCTCAGTGTGGTCGATGTAAAACTCAGTGAACACAGATGAGATGGCTTTGTTGTCACAGTTGTCTTGGAAGAGTGTGCCCCTCAGTTGAGCAGCCTTCAGATAGCTGATGGGAGAGGATTCCAGAATCCCCTTGGCATGTTCATGAATGAAGTCCAAATTGACATTGTTGATATTTGCAGCTTCATGTTATTAGTTGTGATATCTTGATATGATGAGGGTGATAACATTAACTTACCAGCATATTTCGCCAAAGCATTGCAAGAAGCAGGGTGAGATGAGGCCAGACCAACAATGTCAACATCAAAGAATAAGGCATGAAACTTGAGGGCTTGCAAGAGCTGAGTTGCGATGTAACGCCGACGGACTGCTCTATGGACAACAAGCTGAGTCACCCAGCCAACTTGAACAGAATCAGAAAGTGAGATTTTGCAAGAAACTGTGGGACTGAACTACCTTTGTTTTCACCATAATCCCACACAGTAGCAAATGCATGACCATAGAGTTGGGGATGCTCATGCTCAATCTGGAGGTAGCAGGTTACCAGAACGGTATTCTCTGGGTGAGATAAACATTGAGCTCGTAGTTTTGCACTGGTCATCTTGACATTTTTCCCAGTGTAAAGGACTCAGCAATCACCAAGGATCCACATCCCAATTGCTGACCAGCTACAGTATACTTGGAAATTGTACTTGCTTGATCACCCCAAATGCCATAGTGGGAGCTGAAAAGATCGGCACACGATTTCAGTGTATCTTCTGAGATCTTACTGCCCACTGTCATCCTATAAGAGATGGAAGCATGGGAGGGAGAAGTGGGACAATTGAGGAGGGCAAGATGGCTTGTTGGGGGAGTGACAGGTAACATTGTTGGAAAAGTTGTGCGGTTCCGTAATTTGCAACTAGACTGAGTCCATAGCACTCTGGGCCATATCGAGATAGTAGTGACTCCGGTTGCGCAAGTCCATAAGCTTGTGCCAAAAAATATTCAGCAGTTGCCCATCAGACGTTCATGATTATTCAAACAAGTACAATATTATACAAGACCCAGCTGGATCCTATCACAACAAGAGCTACGGTAAATAAGACAAATTACACTTCGATAGCGAACATCCCCTACAAATGCAACATGTAAAGATATCCATACGCAATAAATATCATGAAACAAGGAAGAGCCCAACAGTATTCCCAAAGCCCGCCATCGCAGCTCCGCGGATAGCAAGGAAGGGCGACACTCTCGTGAATGGAATGCGGGGGCACTCCTCTGGCACCGCAGTCGGTGAGGGTGGCTGGCTGAGATACATCGAAGAAAGGAAGGACCGACGGAGAGAAAGAGGGAGTTCGTCCGTTAGGCTTGACATAGTAGCAGTTCGTGTCTTTGAGACACCAGTATCGAACAACCAGACCTCCCACCGGTCCAGAACCGCGGATGTTAGTCCACGCGATGTCAATGAAGGTAGAAGCTGGAATGAGCTTCTTGTGTGAGCCCGGGATATGCGACGAACGCCTATTATTTTTTCGCCTGAAATGTCCCAGCCCCCGCGATCGCATGCTGCCTCGCCCGCTCTTAGAACGGCGACGTTAGACCATGTTGACGGACGTGACACTATTGGTGGGTCGGTGGGGATGGAATGACCTTCGTCATCCTCATCTGGTAGATAGGGTATCACGTAGCTCTCTGAGAGGCGACGGAGTCCCTTTTCTGAGGCTCTGCGGGAAAGAATCCCGTGGCCAGAAACAGGAAATGCTAAGGTGTCTGGCGCGGAGGCAGTACTAGCAGAGGATAACCTCCGTGTGGATGTCACCGAGGACGGTCCTATAGTTGAGGCTATACTGCTACTCCGTGAGCGCCGGCCCGTAGCCAGCTCCAAGATGGCCGACTGTTGTGGATTGTTTCGAGGGCATGAACATCTCCTTCCCTGCGATGTGATGTAAACCTTATAGAAAATCACATGATGCCCAATTGAGACAGAAACCATAAAGCTGTCCATGGGCGGTTCGCCACAGAACTGGCAATTCACGACACGAGAGTTCGATATCCGCAGTTGGTCGATAGCGCCATGATTCTCCTCCAGGATGAAGATGCATTCAGAGGACCCGGCATCCCACAGAGAAATAACGCCAGCTTCTGAAACGATGCCAATAATTATATGATCCCTGCCATCTAACTTGACTTTACACGCATCCACCTTGCTGACGCGGTCCGTTGAGTTGCCTGATTGCAACGCACAGCGGATTGGCACAGCACTCCGAGCTTCGCATACGCCGAGTAGCTCTAGAGCTCCATCTGCCAACACGAATCCCGCCAGTATCCGGTCATCTGAGCGAACACGTAGAAGACGGCTCTGCAAGACAGGCTCAGACGACATTGGAGAGATGAATGACGCCGACGCGTGGTCCTCCATGACCCATTGGGTGATGACTCCATTCTCATACACGACAATGAGGGGCTCTGGTTGAGGAGGACCTGGAGGAGGTGTACATGGGCGAGATTGGGGCCCGTTCTTCTGCTTCAACACCGACTGGAGCGGTGGCGCGAAATGCATTTCCCTAACCCCTGCCGAGATCGAGGGCGGCGCAAGGGTGGCATATGGTCTTGCACTCCTCCCTGCCATGAACCATATCCCAATCATGCCATGTGTTGTCCCTATAGCACAATACTCTCCTGCGTCATCTAAGGCGATTGTACATATTCGCTCCTGCGAAAACGATGTACTGCTTGTACTCAGCAAAACGTCGCTTGTATCAATGAGTACAGGGTTCGGGTCGTTGAAGTGCCATATGGTAAGCTCGTTCTGTAATCCAACTGCAGCTATCACTTCGCAATCTTTGCTTGATGCAAGCAGCTCGACATCGGTTGCAAAAGCACGCGGTAGTGTCTTGAAAGAGGCTTCTCCATTGAGTGGCTTTTCACCCTTGGGGGACGGTGCATCAGCCTCTGCACGATTCCGCTGTGCCTCGAGAAGTTCGGCATCTTTCAGCAGGTATAGTAGCAGTCCATAAAGCGTGGCGATCGTTACGCTAATTGGCAACATGACGAACTTGAAGAACCAGAAAACGAGGTTGATGGAACGTGCAGGCACAGGGGCGTACCCATAACCATGGTCTGCCCCTGTATCAGGCTGGAACGCGACAATGGTCGGGACCTCAAGACGGAGATGAACTAGTGGCTCTTCATCAGGATTGAGCGTCTTCCAAATACGCCAGGCGGGATCTTGCGAATCTGGGCGACGGTGAGCTGCTTGTATGCGTTGCTGAACAGTGGAAGGAATGATGAATCCTGCCTCGCTTTCACGAGTAGCAGGTCTTGTCATAACATACAGTGTTGCGGTGATTGCAAGGAGCTAGAAAGGCCATGAACACGTAGACATACTGAGCTCAAACTCATACATACTAGTAACAGGCTTATATTTGTCAATGCGCGGCCTTTGAGTGATTCCTTCGCATTGAGCGTGGCTCGCTGCCAGTTAGATGCATTTTTCTCCAGTGAGGCGTCACGAGTCGAAGCAGACGCAGTTGGCGCTAAGCTCGGGTCTTGTCTCAGCAATTGATTAAGCTGAACTCATCTACTTCAGCGCCAACCCACGTATACAAACTCAGGTGGACTTACCTCCAGCCTTTGTATATCAATACTGAGTACCGCCAAGAAGAATGTATGGGCAAGGAACCAATGTGCAACGAGGACTACCACCGCGAATGTGCAAAATTGCCTGATTGCGCCAGCAGAGGAAAAGGCGATAACGCCCAGAATAGAGTTATAGGACACAACTTTGAGTGTATTAGAAGTTCCAGCACGGCTTAGACCTTCAGCGATGCGCTCTTTGACAGGGAGTGTGATAGATGTGCGTGTCACCGCATCCACGAGATTAAACATATTTTCTGCACCAATGAAGATGATAACGATAGGAAGAAGACTCCTGTTTATGGTAAGTGCTTGTATGACAAGACAGGATATAGAACGTTACCAGGGAACCATGGTCACTTTGAACCGTAGCAATGCGCATACACTCAGACTGGTGATTGTACTTGCCGCAATCTCAACGAGTGCCGTGAAAGTGAGACCGATACGGTTGTGTACACCGTTCATGCGCTTCATTGACCATGAGACATATGCAAAAAATGCACCATACGCGAGGTATAAGAATGTTGAAATGGATGAAGTTCCTGTAGTCATGGATAGGCTATGATTGTACTGCAAACATTTAGGATTCACGCACAAGCCACAAATAGTAATGTACATACCTCCAATGCGATTAGCTTCGGTTCCGCAGTCACTGCAAATATTTGCGCACTTTCTGGGTTCTCCTGTGTCGAGTTCTTGATAATTTGTAGCCAAGAATGATGACCGGCACTCCTCAAACAATCCGTCTCAGGGAATACATAGGTAAGTGCCAGGAACATTGCAGAATCAGGGGTCGCAGAATTACGTTGTGTGGAGTCGCGCCCTGCAAGGACCATCGGCGGTGTAACATGCATACCTGCAACGGTGACACCTTGTGAATGAGTGGCTGTTAGGGAGATGTTCCTATCACTACGCAAACGTTCCTCGTCGTGCTCCCAAAAGGAAAGAGGACTGATAACAAAACAGTGACGCAAGTTCAGGTTGTTACAAGAGACCCCATGATTCAGAAGTCCTCGGAGAATCCGCTTTTCTAGTTGAAGGGTGTAAAGCAAAGTCTGTAGGGAAAGTGCCCCTGCCCCGTCAGCTGTATTGATGAGAATGCGTTCAACACGAAGTGTACGGTCACTTCCACAACGTGCTCGTGTGAGGAAGTCGTCTCGTACTTGGAGGTTGGCGTTTCCATCCCAAAGTTGATGTACATCGCTATGTGTGTAACCGTCATATGCCGCATGAGCGGCGAGGAACGAATCGAGTGCATTTGATGTGGAATCAAAGCGGGAGTAAGATGGGGTCGACCAGTACATGGCAAGTGCAGGGTACGACAAGGATGTGATGACAATCGCCGAGATGAGGATGAGACGAATTTGATGTGTTGCGCAATGTCTTGATTCCACCGGCGTCAAATTCGAAGCCAAAATGATTACAGAGAGTACGCACATTCCGAATCGCCTTAGCGCAAGGTCTGCAAGAGTTCGCATTCTTTGCATAAATGAAGGTCCAAATGAAAAGAAATACTCTTGTTGGCGAGCCATCGAAGGCGGTTATGAAGGAAATTTGGAACCGAGCACCGTCAGTTGTACCCGGGCCTGACAGGCACCTTGACACCGGTTTCGGGATAGGTTTTTTTCGTTACCTGTTCGTTTCCAGAAGTACGGTAAACCCGAGGATGAGTGAAAGTATATTACACACTAGAGTCTGGAGGGTTTGTGCTATTGTAGAAACAACGACGCTGCCGTTGGTACTGACGGTAAGGTCACGCACTAGTACTTGCTTCGGAAGTAATTTATAAATGAAAAGGTTGACAATTCCCGTCAAACTCCCATCACGTATATGCACGGCTCCCTTATCACGTAAAGGTACATACTCCTGCAGCTAGACTTCTCACCAATCCAAGGTGTTTGAAAAAGTTCATATAATACTCTTACGAGCAGAGAAACCAATCCAAAGACCACTACAGAATACGGTTGAAACTACATGTGAGTGAAGAACCACAACGTTTCAGAACGAGATCCATCTACCCGCTTGCCACATACGCTTAGGTATTATGGGAGCGTCGGGCCGACGAATCCCACCAGTCACCCACATATCGCATTGTGCATTATATTCCTCTACAATACCAACCATCAGAATCAGTCTGCAGTGGAACTGAACTCAATCATGGAATCTCACTAGGCAGCAATGCAAGCTGCTGGTGGGATTCTCAGGCCCATAAATCACGTAGACTGCTACCCCGCAAAAAAAATATAATCCATAGATCATCGGCTAGCTTTCGTAAGTTGCAACAACCCATTGAACCGCGCACGATATCCATCAGCGTATAACAGCATAGTCAGACCATGGATGAAGTCCCTGTTCACAACACCGATCAAAACAAAGATAACGGAAACCACAGGAAAGGGACATACCAGCTCCGCACGAGTGAGCGTATGGGATAGTCCAGCACTTTGGGTATAGTGGTTTGCACAAACGATGGCCAGCGGTCGGTGACAATTGCTTTAGGGTTCGTCAGTGCACGAAGTCCTTCACTGCCACCGAACCGTCCGTATCCACTAGATTTGGTGCCTCCAAATGGCAGATCTTGGCTGTGGGGAAAATTAGTTACCGCATTCCGGATATTAACATACTGCTTACTTGAGCTAAAAGTAGCATATCAGCATTGCAGTAAATCAACATTGAGGCAAAACCGGCTCACATAGTACACCCCAAAGTCATTGACAGATACCATACCACAATGAAGCTCCTTTGCGACTTCAATACACAGGTCTTGATGAGGTCCAAAGACGCTGGCGCCAAGTCCGTATCGCGTTCCATTCGCGATAGTGATTGCCTCATCAATGTCATCATAACGAATGAGCAGCGCAATTGGGGCAAACACTTCATCAATAGACATCAATGTCAGCAACTCGAAACATATAACACAACAACGACACCTACATTCCACCTGTGCAATTCTCGAGTTGGGTTTGGCATCACCTACCACCGTTGCCTGGAAGAATGATTTCCCCTGGCACGATGTATGCAGGAGCTCCTTCCCGCCAACATCGACTCTTGCACCATCTTCCTGCGCCTTGAATATTAGGTCCTCGAGCACATTAAACCTATCATTGCTGATCATAGAGCCACAATCCACGGTGTTGATGTAGCCCTCGCGAGTAGGCGCCAACACAGACCCAAAGCGCAACTTGGCGACGCGGTCCGTCAAAATATCGAATAATTCATCATATTGTTTCGAGTGCACAATGAGACGCTCAATACCGATGCAGTTCTGACCTGAATTTTGGCTGGCACATCAGTCAGTTGGGAACGTGACGAGTAAACATGCGTAAAACTCACAATATACCACGCATCCAGATACTAGACCATTTCTGGAGGTCCGTGTCTGGTAGAATGATAGCAGGGTCCTTTCCACCAAGCTCGAGAGTAACGGGCGTCAGGTGTTCAGTGGCAGCCATGGCGACCTGCGGATAATTTAAAAACAATATAAATAGCGAGTCCAACGTTCTGTTCACCTTTCTTCCGATTTCCTCTGAGCCAATAAAAGTAATGTGCTTAATGAAAGGTGACTTGGTCAATGCTTCAGCCTGATCAGGCCAACAGCAAACAGTCTGAAATTTGGTTAGCATTGTGGTACGAAAATCAACACTACCCATACCTGCACGATATCAGCGTCGTATCCGAGAACCTCTAGGCACTTGTGAATAGCGCCAACAAACCATTCCGTAGACCAAATAACATGTTCAGATGCCTTGAGTACGATAGCGTTTCCGGCAAAAATAGATGCGATGATTGGTGACCAAGCATTATGAAGAGCTACAATCAGATCAGCCGCTTTATCAATTACGTCACTAAAGAAGCACCAACGGTAGTTCCACGATACGATAGCAGCCACCACACCTTTCGGCTCGTAAATGACCTGTGACTTCTTGTAACTCATCATCAAATTCGAATATCTCGTTTCCGTTCGTAGAGCACGTTCTCCGTGGTTAATCAACCACTCTAGCTTTGAGCACGTCGACAATATCTCGCCCAAAGCCGCATCAATCACTACAAGGAATTATCTCAATAACGACAGGAAATGAAACCAAAACAACTTACTTGTCTTTCCTGAGTCGCGACACGCGACCCGCGCACATAACTCCTGGTTCTCCACGAGCCACTTCAGTAAGCTGCGCATGACGCGTCTCCGCTCGCCAAATGACGTCTCGCACCACTTAATCTGTGCATTTTTCGCGCGTTTGATCTTGGCCTCGATTGACCGTGCATCATCCGCGAGAGCGGAAGTGAGGTGCAGGTTGTTAGCGGGGTCGAAACACGTGATATATTCGCGTCCACCTCCTCCAAATTGGAGAGGAAGGAGGTCGGGCATCTGGAGATGCGAGCGTAGGTTGGCATTGGGTATCACACGAGAGTCCCAGCTGGGGTCTGCCGCCTGTCAACAAGAGGAATGAGTTTTATCTTCCATAGGAAAAATATGAAAAACACGCACCTCTGGAGCAGGATGGTGGAAAGGCACTGCGCTGTTGACCGCTTTCTGGTATCTGTCAAACACCAGCCATATACCAAATGCTGAAAACGTGGTGAAGAGGTATAATACATCGACGATGCTGGCATTCGGATCGTCTTCGAGCCATAAGTTGAGCGTGTTTAGCGGATGGAATAAGACATAGAAAAGCGAGTGCATTTCTGCGACGACAGCGCAGAACTGGCAAGAACTTAAGAATTCAAAACCCCAAACCAACGCGTTCGAAATATAAAGACAGAAAAGGCAGATTCTCCATCTGATTCTCAACAACACGTCGGTAAGTTGTCACGTGATGTTACCCACAGGCGCCTATATGTAGTACAACTTGTACAAGAGGAAGATCACAAATTGACAATGACCAGCCTATGTATGAGTCTCCAGGAAAATTACATTAGCTGAAATCACAGAGCAACGCTGATAATGATTTGTAGTTACGTATGGGTATATCAGACAAAAAATTGCAATGTAACGCAACGAGTGGAGTATAAGGAGTAAAGTCAGAGTAGTAGTAACAAAAGGTAGTAATAGAACTCAAACAACACACTCGCGCAGCTGTCGTGAACATAAGCATTAAGCAAACTATGTCCGTCAAACAAGTCAAAAATGCGAATCCGTGGTATGTAAGTCGTGTGGCGGTCATATCGTCTCTTTGATGTTACTGCTCGAGTCCTTTTTCCGCTTGCCCTCGCCAATGTTAACAATCTTCTTTAGCGACGACAGGCTCGACTTGCTCTTCTCGTGGATTTTTCCCTTCTTGGAAGGAGAGCCATCCGGTCCTGAAGAAGTCGCAGATATAGCATTTGCTGCCGGGTCGGAAATAGCATCGTCTGCGGGATTGGCATCTACAACGCCAGAGGAGCCTCCACCACCGACTAACCGAATAGTCGTGCTAGGTTCTTGAGCATCCTCTTGCGACGGCCGCGAAGTAACAATGGACTCTGATGATACAGAAACCTCTAGTTCTACCACTGCATTAGTGGGGGTCGAGGGTTGCAGTGGGACTGCATCCATAGCAGGAGCAGAGTCGGCAAGGAGGTCGGTGACGTTTTCCACCGAAGGGGGTGGCGTCTCTATATGTACGTCGTCTGCCGTAGAGATGACCTGTTTGACAAGAGTCTCTACTTTCGCAGGAGGAGATTGTCTAGGAGGAACTCTAACGATTACCACGTCTGTTGGTATTGCCTGCATGCCGAGCCCACGACCCGCTTCAAGATCCTCGTTAGACGAGCGCTGTGAATCTGGCGGCGATGGGAGAGAGACGACGTCGTTGACAGTCGGTAAGTCTACGGGTAACGGAGCTGGGGGTTTTGTGATGGAGATAGCGGGAAAGGGTGGCGGTGGCTGTGGTATAACATCGGTAGGCTCTTCTGTGAGCTTCAAGTCCGTAAAGACGGGTATAGGAACAATTGCATCGGAGTCAGCGAGGTTCAAAACACCTAGACCATGTCTCTCCCGTGCCTATAATCAATACGTTAACCGTAGACTTCACCGATAAGAGCAATGATGGATACCTTGCCCTTCTTCTCATCCAATGACGAAGATCCGTGAATCAAACCTGATTCATACCATTTCTTAACGCTCCGGTCAGCCCATGCCTCCATTGGATTCAACCCTCTATACTCTCCGGTGAGCCGCAGTCCTCCCGATCCGGCCTCCCCACCACCGTCGCCTTGCCCCCGCCCACTTCCATCAAAGAAGTATGCCTCATACCCTAGGCCATCCTCACTGCCTTCGCTATCTCCTCCCTGTCCCAGCTCAAAGCCCTCACCGCTCTCTAATTCATCGACGAAATTTGCGAGCCACCGCGCCCACCCACCAGGTCCATCGCCATGCCAAAGCACTATTTTCGTGTCAAATTCGCGTCCGAAGACGATTACCTGACCCACGGCGCCACCCTTATCAGGGTTGAGGTCAATGCCGATATAGTTGCCTGCCTTATCTACGACGAGTGGGATCCAACCACGCTGCGAGTATTCTTTCCGCACATAGCCATCAGGTATGGACCGCATGATATCGCGCAGACGTGAATTGCTTCCTGTCTGAGGGTCGTCATCGACTTCGCGCCAAAACCGCCATTCCTCGAGGACAGCTTCGAGGGGGAGTAACGAGAGGCCGAAGAAGAGACCATCTGAGCAGCCCGCTGACGATTCTGCTTCTTGTCCGTCCACGACAAGATACGACTCCCTTACTGCCTGCGGTAGTGCAAAACCAAATTGCATTTCAATTTGTGCGAGGTCCTGTGGAAGAATTCCGTAGTTGAGAGTATCGCCTAGTTCTGGGTATTCACGAGCTAGCCATAGTTTTAGGCGATTCCAGGTATGTTCTAATGGAGGGTAAGGCGGCGGTTGTGTCATTGAATCTACAAAGGGTGTGTGATGAAGAGGAAGGAGTGAAGTTGGTCGTGAGCGAAAGCTGGAGATTAGCGGAAGTCAGTTGATTGAATTGAAAACAAAGTGAGAGTGGACGAACGAAGTCGGTACATAACTGTATGAAGAGATTGGGGATTGCGGTGGATATGTATATGTTGGACTGACTGGTCCTGGTGTCTGAAGAGCCGCTGGGTTGAAAGCGTCTGGATGTCGCCCATGACCCGATGACGAAGTTGGGAGTGAGAAGGCCTCTTGTGTTGTCGACATGGCTTGTCCTCGTCGTACAGATTGTTTACGGTCAGTCGAGAACAGTGAAGCGAACCAATTCATTGTTCGTCGTCGCCACCAAGACACACCGTGACAGTCCGCAAGTTGACCCAAGTGATGTTTGTTGTAAGACAGTTGCTAACCCTCACATTTGGGAAATAGATTTTCGTGTCTATTTGTGTCACATGTGTAAGTAACATGCCACCTCAGACTTTCTGTGTAAAATATATCTTTTACTGTGCAATGCGAAGCGACGGACGGCCTCTTATTTTAATACAGCAACCATCCCAAATATATGTAAAATACAACCGTATGTGTATCAAAGGCTTCGAATGCCCGTGAAGAACGGAATTAACGTGTGATTGATATGCATCAGATATCAAGGGTGGAAATCAAACAAGCCTACTGATCCATGTATTTATATACATATCATCGATAGGAACTTACATCTGCCCAAGGTTGTCAGAGACCTTGAAGTCGCAGGCTGTCTTCGCTTGTACCTCCTCCACCGTCACACCCTTGGCCACTTCAACGAGCGTCAAGATGCCACCAGACCGGTCGACATCAAACACAGCAAGTTCGGTAATAATCTGGCTGACCGCCCGTGCACCAGTCAGTGGCAACGAGCATTCCTGCATGATCTTTGGACCTCCATCTTTTGCACAGTGTTCCATGGCCACAATGACCTTCGTCTTGTCAGGATTTGATACCAGGTCCATGGCTCCGCCAATCCCTGCAGGTGTCACATGAGTCTAGGTACGGACTGTGATGCTGAATCACATGCCCTTCACAAGCTTGCCTGGAATCATGAAGTTTGCAATGTCGCCAGCCTGGGATACTTGCATAGCCTGGAAAATATTTGATCACAAAAAATTCCTACAACCAACCAAGATGAAACATACACCAAGGATGGCGACGTCCATGTGGCCTCCCCGGATCATACCGAACGAATCAGTTGAATCTATGTACAGCACATCAACACGCGCCTCTTGCTGGTGTCCTGACGTCACTCACCAAAGACCGAAGCGCCCGGTAGCAAAGTGACCGTCTCCTTTCCAGCATTGGTTATGTCACTATTAGCTTACTATCAGCACCAACATCATTGGAACACATAGCCAGCGATACCCACAGATCGACTTGGTCTTCAGAGGGGAACGGACCCATTCCCAGAATGCCGTTCTCACTTTGCAGCCAGATCTTGATGCCCGGTCGGAGATACTCCGTAACGAGGGTGGGAATGCCGACACCAAGGTTTACATAAAAGCCATCTCTGAGCTCTTGTGCTGCGCGCTTTGCTATTCTGCGCCGTGTGCTCTTTTCCAGGAGTTCCTCAGGTGAGGGGCCACCTGTAGTTCCGGGTGGCGGAGCAGTGGCAATTATATCAAAACCTCTTGGCTCAGTGGCCTGCACCACACGGTCAACAAATATTCCTGGGACGTGGACAGCGTTTGGCGGTAATGAGCCAATAGGGACAATTTCCTCTGCCTAGAAGCATGATAAGCTTTGTGCTAAATAGTTACTGCACTATTCTTACCTCTGCGATAACCAACTGCGCATTCCTTGCCATGGCGTTGTTGTAATTGTTTGCGACATATCGGAACATGAGGTTGCCTGCCTCGTCTGCCTTCCAGGCGTGGATGAATGCGACGTCACCAGCGATGGCAGGCTCCATGATATACCGCTTTCCATTGAAGTCTCTGTATTCCTTTTTGTTTCCCGGTATTAAGATACCTTCTTTAAAGCCGCCCGTTTTAAATCTGATGGGAATTCCGCCAGTTTCAACGGTCGTGGAGGCACCTGTGGGTGTGAAGAAGGCAGGAATACCTGCGCCGTGTGCACGCATCCGTTCAACGAGGGTACCTTGCGGGACCAGTTCGAGGGACATCTTTCCATCGAGGTACATCCGCTCAAGGTATTTGTTTCTGAGCGAGCAATGAGCACATGAACTTAAATGCAGAAGTAGCACATACCCGCCAAGGTATGATATTATGAGCTTGTCAAGTTGCCCGCTTTTCATGAGCTTGACTAGTCCATTATAATTGGTGAGACTCCACTATTGGGCGCGGAAAACTGAACTACTTACCCAGACCCAAATCACTTGAACCAGCATTGTTGGATACAGCAGTTAAACCGTGCACGTCCGTCCGTCGTGAAAGAGCAGTGATCAAAGTCTCTGTGGGGCGATTAGACATCCTTCTTTAGAATTAGTGGGCAATGAACTTACCAGGAGTACCACACAAGCCGAACCCTGACATTGAATGAAATCGCGTCAACTCCAATCTAACTGCAATGACGCAGACATACCTCCACTCAGGACAATGTCCCCAGACTTCACACCTTGCACAGCAGCATCTGCAGATGCCCATACTTTCTTCCGCTGGAGTGCATCAGACTCAGGCTGCGTCGCATAATGTCTTATATACAACCGGAAGGATGTCAGATCCTGGTATCGTCGAAAAATGCGAGTACTATGCATAGGAAGGAAGGGAGCAAGACCCATAGGTGCCAGATTTCAGGTCCCAGGACAGTGAACCAGAGGAATTTGGTTGTAGTTGACCAGGCGAATGCCAATTCCGTTCCGAAAATCAGTCAGCCGTCACTGGTCAGGTGGTCAGTTTCCGCCTCGAACCTTATCGTAGCGGTGGGCAAGCCGCCCCTCCCCGACTGTCCGAGAACGTCCGGGAAATGGCCGACTCTAGGGCTACTCCACATAGACTCTGAGGCCAAAGTCTTGGGCCGGTCTGGGGTTTCGGCAGGCGGAGTTCAAACATTCTTCGATGACAAGACGTCACGACTGACACAATCTCCCGCCCCCTCCCGCCGCTTGCCTGCTGCCGCGCCCTCTTGCCCGTGCAAACAGGAAATCGGGCGGGCGGCCAGATGGGCGGGATGTGAACAACAAAAGCTACTGATAGTGTGCATTTTGAGCGGAGCACGAATGCAGCATTCCAACAACAGATGGCGGGCGGGCGGGAAGGCATTTGCATTGGCAGGGAGGCAATATTCGCAGCGGCGGGGGAGCTTGTGTTAGCTATTGATCAATATTGACATGTGACGCTTTGCCTGTTTGAACTCCGCCTGATATCAGCTCCAGACCGGCCCAGGACTTTGGCCCGAGAGTCTACCCCTAGTCCTGACTTTCACGCTTGTCCGATTATCTCTTGGTCGTGTTTGATGGTACACTAAAACATGTGATCCTTAGCCAAGCAGGATTACACCGAAGCTAGGTGAGGAGGCTACACTCCAAGCATGTTCAAAGTGAGAACGAGCAAAAGTCCCACTGACACAAATGGTAACATCAGAAGTCAGTGAGTCCACACGATGATCTGAATGACACTTCGAATATGACTCAACATGATCGATGAGTGCTGAGTACAAAATCCAATCGTAGCAGCGAACATGGCCTCAGAATGATTAGTACAACAGGTCATGATACAACGCGACATAAAGTTTGTTATAGTTGCCGGACAACCGAATTAGGCATTTAAGGTTTGAGGTGGCTGTCAGCTGTAGTGCACCCCTTTTTTGCTCAAGCTGGGAGGCAGCTTTTATTATTATTGAACTCGCCCATTGAAGTCCTTAAGTGGTACAAGAACAATACACGTGCTGCAACGAACAATTTTCGTAAGGAAACGATGGTAACAATGTTTGTTCGATGATAATAAATTAATAACCTCGAAACCTGAGAGCGATCAAAGCTTGCTCAGGTTGCTCCGTACCTTGAAATCGCAGCCGGTCTTCGCCCTGACTTCTTCAAGTGTTACGCCTTCCTGGAGCTCAACAAGCTCGAGGTGACCGTTCTTCCTGTCGACGTCGAAAACGGCCAACTCCGTAATAATTTGGCTGACAGTACGGGCACCCGTGAGCGGAAGAGTGCATTCCTTCAAAATCTTAGGACTGCCGTCCTTTGCACAGTGCTCCATTACAACTATAACCTTCGTCTGGTCTGGGTTAGACACCAGGTCCATAGCTCCTCCGATACCTAAGAATGTGATCGGCGATGAGAATGCAGAAGACTGACGAAACATGTTTAAATCACGAACCTTTGACCAGTTTTCCGGGAATCATGAAATTAGCGATGTCGCCTGCTTGTGAGACTTGCATAGCCTATGAGATGAACCGGAATAGTGCGAGATGAGTCAGAAAGTCGACAAGTATACGAAAATACTCACACCGAGAATGGAGAGATCGACGTGACCACCACGGATCATAGCGAATGATTCACTTGAATCTGCCCTGTGGCGTTAGCAACCAAAGGTGAATCGAGCGAGAAACATACCGAAAACCGAGGCACCTGGCAGCAAGGTCACAGTCTCCTTGCCCGCATTGATGAGATCCCTACAAAAAGATGCTTAGTATGAGGAAACATTCCCTGGCGACACAACTTACGGATCCACTTGCTCTGCCGTAGGATATGGCCCCATGCCGAGAATGCCATTCTCGCTTTGCAACCAAACACGCACACCGGGTTCGAGGTACGCCGGAATGAGAGTAGGTATGCCAATACCGAGGTTTACGTAGAATCCATCCTTGAGCTCTTTGGCGGCGCGCTTTGCAGTACGATGACGCATCTTCTGTGCGAATTCTTTTTCAGCACTCAGAGTGGACTGTTCACCAGAAGATGATGGGCTTGGCGCAAGCTTGATATGCTCTATTTGCTTTGGTGCGGTGGATTGAACAACTCGGTCGACATAGATGCCAGGAACGTGGATGGCGTTTGGTGAAAGAGAACCAGTAGGCACGATTTGGTCTGCCTACAAAGAATGCATCAAATTCCTCACAAAAATACTGTGATGTACTCACCTCCACTATCGTGAGTTTTGCGTTCTTCGCCATGACCGTGCTAAAATTCTGCTGGGTATACCTATACAAGCCAGAACATTTAGCGCTGAGGTAAACGAACCGAAAATGGCCTCCTCACCGGAAAACACAGTTGCCAACCTCATCCACTTTCCATGCACGAATAAAAGCGACATCACCAGCAATAGCCGGTTCCATGATATACTTGCGACCTCCGAATTCCCGTGATTCTTTCTTAATACCTGGTATCTTGACGCCGTTGGCAAATCCTCCTTCGTTGTATCGTGTTGGGATCGAACCATCTTCTACTGCGGTTGATGCTCCCGTAGGGGTGAAGAAGGCTGGGATA